TTATATATATATATATATATATATATATATATATATTTATTTAAGTCTTCTTTAGTTTTTTGTAATGTCTCAGTTTTCAATGTAGAAATATTGTGTAAATTTTATTATACATATTTCTAGATATTTATATTTTGGGTAATATTTTAAATGAAATTGTTTTAAGTTTTCATTTTCTAATTATTTTCTGCCAGTACATAGACATACAATTTATTTTTGTATATTAACCTTATATACTGCCACTTTTTTTTTTTAGTTCTAATCATTGCTTTGCAGAGTACTGAAGAGCTACAATTCTCTATGTAAAAAATTATGTTGTCCACAAATAAAAACAGTTGTATTTCTTCCTTTCTAATCTGCATGCCTTCTGTTTCTTTATCTTGCCTTATTGCAATGGCCAGGATTTCTGGCATGATGTTGAACAAAAATGCTACGAGCCAACATCCTTGCTTTGTTCCCATTCTTACAGAGAAGCTCATAACATTTCACCATTAAGCATTAAGTTACCTGTAGATACTCTTTATTAGTTTGAAAAAAATTTTCTATTCCTAGTTTGCTGAGATTTAACATGAATGGACTCTAAATTCTGCAAATGCTTTTGATGCATCTACGTCAATGGCCATATACTTTTTCTCCTTTATCTTGTTATATTAGTCTGTTTTCATGCTGCTGATAAAGACATATCCAAGACTGGGCAATTTACAAAAGAAAGATGTTTAATGGACTCACAATTCCGCATGGCTAGGGAAGTCTCACTATCATGGTGGAAGGCAAGGAGGAGCAAGTCACATCTTACATGGATGGCCATAGGCAAAGAGAGGGTGCTTGTTCAGGGAAACTCCCCCTTATAGAACCACCAGATCTCATGAGACTTATTCACTATCATGAGAACAGCATGCAAAAGGACTGCCCCATGGTTCAATTATCTCCCACCAGGTCCCTCCCACAACACTTGGGAATTCAAAATGAGATTTGGGTGGGGACATAGCCAAACCATATCACCTGTTAATATAGTGAATTATATTGACTAATTTTTTTTTTTTTTTGAGATGGAGGTTTGCTCTTGTTGCCCAGGCTGGAGTGCAATGGTATGATCTCGGCTCACTGCAACCTATGCCTACTAGGTTCAAGTGATTCTTCTGCCTCAGCCTCCCAAGTAGCTGGGAATACAGGCATCCACGACCACACCTGGCTAATTTTGAATTTTTAGTAGAGACAGGATTTCAGAATGTTGGTCAGGCTGATCTCAAACTCCTGACCTAAGATGATCCACCTGCCTTGGCCTCCCAAAGTGCTGGGATTAAAGGCATGAGCTGCTACATCTTGCCTGATTGATTTTCAAATGTTAGTCTTACGTTTCTGGGATAAACACTACCTGATCATCATTTGCATATATTTGTATATTTTTTACATATTATATCATTATTTGCATGTTGCATATATTGCTATAATTGATTGGCTGATATTTCATTTAAAAGTTTTGAGTCTATGTTCATGAGGGTATTAGTTCATACTTTTCCAGTTGATATCTGTTAGGGTAAGCTGGTCTTATTTCTAAAAAAAAAAATTGGAGCCAGTCGTCGTGGCTCACACCTGTAATCCCAGCACTTTGGGAGGCTGACGCAGGCAGATCACAAGGTCAAAAGATCGAGACCATCCTGGCTAACACAGAGAAACCTCATCTCTACTAAAATACAAAAATTAGCTGGGCGTGGTGGCACACCCCTGTAGTCCCAGCTACTTGGGAGGTTGAGGCAGAAGAATTGCTTGAACCTGGGAGGCAGAGGTTGCAGTGAGCCAAGATCGGGCCACTGCACCCCAGCCTACTGCCTGGCAACAGAGCAAGACTCTATCTCAAAAAAAAAAATTAAATGAAATAAGCCAGACACAAATAGACAAATATTGGATGCTCTCACTTATATGTGGCAGCTAAAAAATGTGAACATATTGAAGATAACATATAACAGATATGTAAGATATGGAAGATAACGTAACAAATGTGAATATATGGAAAGGTAGATAACAAAGACTGGGAAGGGTAGGAGTTAGAGGGGAGAGGAGAGAATGAAGACAAGTAAGCTAAAGGAATGGTAAGATAAAAGTAATAAATGCAATGTTTGATACAGCAGGATGACTGTACTTCACAAAAATGTACGTACTTGGGTGACTGACACCCTGAATACCCTGGCTTGATCATACATGTAACAAATTTTCTCATATACCCTATAAATTTTCACAAATAAAAATAATTGGTATAAAATTTATTTCTTCCATGTGTGTTTGCTCAAATTTCCCAGAGAAATATTGTGGGTCTGCAATTTTCTTTAAGTGAAGGTTTCTGATTATGAAGATAAGTTAATTAGTATACTTAGGGCAATTCATATTTTCTGTTTCTTGTGTCATATTGTTAAGTTGTGCTTTCCAATAAATATGTCTATTTCACCTAAGTTATCAAATTTGTTAACAAAAATTGATATTTCCTTTTTTAATATCTATAGGATTTGTCGTTATGTCCCTCCTCCACCACCAATATCAGTAATTTGTGCTTTTCTTACTTTTGTTCTTCATCAGTATTTCTGAGTATACTAGATTTATCTCTTCAAAAGGTCAAATGTTGACTTTGTTTTTGCTTTGTATTTATCTAAACGATTTATGCTCTTATCATTTCCTTTATTTCTTTTCATTATTTCCTTTCTTTCTATTTAGTTTAGATTTAATTTGCTCTTCTTTTTTGATGTATAAACACTTAATTGATGTTATGGGTTTTTTTTTCCTATTAAGCATTTAAAGCTATAAATTTCCCTCTATGCCCTGCTTCATTTGAATGCCATACATTTTGATGTGTTGTTATTAGTTTCAAATATTCTTTAATTTCTCTTGTGTTTTCTTTTTTGACTCATGGGGTATTTGGAATTGTATTATTTAATTTTCAGATATTTAGAGATTTTTCTTCCTATATTACGGCACTCAGTTTGTAATTTAGTTCTGTAATGGTCAAAGAACATACTCTTCAAGAATTCAGTCTTTGGCATTTCTGCATATGACCTATCTTCTTGGTGAACACACCATGTGCACTTGTGCTCTGTCTCCATTCCACCTGGATTTACTGTACCACAGTTTTGACATTAACTACCCAGAGTTAGCATTAGACTCCACAGATTTAAGGGCTCCAGCCTCCATAAGACTACCCTTACTTCAGATACCAGCCACAAGTCTCAGGTCACCTAATCTTCTGACCAACCAGCTATAAATTCAGGGGTTTCCATAACCCCTTCAATGTGGTAACTCACTAGAATGACTCACAGAACTCACTGAGCACACTGTACTTACAATTACAGTTTTACTGTAAAGAGAACTCAGGAACAGCATAATGAAGAGGTACATGAGGTGAAGTCTGAGAGGCTCACAGAGCTTCCATGCCCTCTCCCTGTGGAATCAGGGCACAGCACCCTCCTGACACATCCATGGGTTTATCATCCAGGAAGTTCTTCAAGCTGTGGGTGTCCAGAATGTATTTTGAATTTTTCTTATTAGGTGCATACATATTTATGATTGATGTATCTTCCTGATTAGTCCTCTTCTTAACATGAAATGTCCCTTTTTATCTCTCATCATACTCCTTGAATTATAATATCTTATCTAATAATACAGACTCACCAAATTTTTTATCTTTACTGTTCTCATGGTACATCTCTTTCCTACTTTTATTTTCAATCTACCTGTTTCTTTATATTAAGAGTGCTTCTCTTGGTAGACAGGTACATGTGTCTTGCTTTTGTATCCAGTCAGACAATCCCTACCCTTTATTTGGCACCTTTAACCCACTCATATTAAATATTTTTATTGATGTCATTAAGTTAGAGTCAATGTTTTCTACTTGTTTTCTCTTTGCCCAGTGCTGTTTGTTTGTTTGTTTGTTTTTTGAGATGGAGTTTCACTCTTGTTGCCCAGGCTGGAGTGCAGTGGCGCGATCTCGGCTCACCTCAACCTCTGTCTCCCAGATTCAAGTAATTCTCCTGCCTCAGCCTCCCGAGTAAGCTGGGATTATTACAGGCATGCACCACCACGCCCAGCTAATTTTGTATTTTTAGTTGGTCAGGCTGGTCTCGAACCCCCAACCTCAGGTGAAATGCTCGCCTTGGCCTCCGAAAGTGCTGGGATTACAGAAGTGAGTCACCAAACCTGGCCTGTGCCATATTTTTTGTTCCTCTGTTCCTTCTTCCCTGCCTTCTTTTGAGTTAATTGAGCATTACTTAGTCTTCCCTTTTATTTCATTGACTTTTCAGCTATATCTCTGTTTTACTAGTTACTCAAGGGATCATTAAATGCATCCTTAACTTACCACATTCCATTTAGAGGTAATATTGTACTACTTCATATAAAGTGTAAAAAACTTAATAGTTTATTTTTATTTACCCTCTTTATCTTTTCTGCCACTGCCAAATATTTTCCTTTAGAAATGTTTTAAGTCTCATGGCTCAACGTGTGTATGTGTTTACTAATTTTCAGTGTGTTTAGGTTATATTACTTTTATGTTACTTCTATTTTACTTCCACGCTTTAAACTCACAGTGTAATAAATTTTAAATGGCTGTAAATTCTAGCAGACCAGAATAATAGAACAGGACAGATAAAGCTGTGGAATAAAGATCAACCAATCACACCTTTATTCAAGCTATGTGATCTTCCTTAGAATCTATTTCTTTATCTGTCAAAAAATTGTTAGAAGGATTAAGTGCATTAAGGCTAATTTATGTAGGGGCTGGAGTTCAGTTAATGTTACTTTCCTTCCCTGCAACAAACTAAAGTTTCAGGCTAAGCTATTGTTAATTAACATCAATGCAAGTTATATATTGTAAACAAAATTATAATCAGAGGCAAATTAAATGTAGCAAAACCAAATAAGAAATCAAGAAAAATATCATTTTCTACTTACACCAAGATGCATAGTACAAAGATATTTTTAACTGAATATAATAAAAATAATTACCAAAGTGTCCTTACCTTAATAGAACTGGTATTTTGTAGTTGTATTAGCATGTCAATAAGTAATTCTGCTCCCAAATAGAATGGTAAAACAGAGGTGCAGAGGAAACCATCTTGACTAATAGGAAATGTTTTATAAATATCCACTCCCTGTTTAAGAAGTATTTGTAGTTCCTGAGTAAAGTTCCAAAAGGCCCGACAGCAGTTCTGAAGCAGAGTCCAATAGCCACCACGATGAGCAAGAACCTATGACAAATACAAAATTTAAAAGACTCTAAAGTTCCAAAAGTTTCAGATCTCTGAAAAACTTCAACTTTTTGCAAAAAATTTATGTCGATAGCAAAAATAACATCATTTTTAGTGTCACTTACATGAGTTAGATACTGTGTTATATGCATTATCTCATTTAATTTGAACAAAAATTTCCATAAATTAAGTGTGCACTGCGCACTAGTATTTTACCCAATTTACAGATGAGGAAGTGGAGGCATGGGGTCAGCATGGCTAACTTGCTGAAGGTCATGAGCCTACTAAGTGGTGAACTCAAATTTGTATACCAGTCATCTACCTCCAAAAATCCCATCGTTCTAGGTGCTGGGAATTCAGCAATGAGCAAGGGAAACTGGGTCTGCCCTCATGCTGCTTACGTTCATCTGGGAAGATGAAGACCAGAAAAGTAGACATATAAAAACATAACTCCAAGCAATAATAAGTTTTATAAAGAAAAATAAAGCAGAAATGAGTTGGAACCTGACAGAGCATGACAGGACAGTTACTTTAGACAGGGTAGTCGGGAAAGAAGTCCTCTCTGATGAGGTAGCATTTGTTGAACAAGTCATGTGAAAGTGGCAGTGGGGGTGCTGGATGGAGAAGAACATTTGAGGCTCGGGGAATGGCCAATGAGGCTCAGGGAACAGCAAGGTGAAACTGAGGGCTCAGGATGGTTAGAACAAGCTAAGGGTTCTCAAGACCACTGACCCCTGGGAGTGGGCTAAACAACAGCAAGAGTAAGAGGAGCTCAGATCTGCAAGGTGCTCAGGACCAGCTCTTCCAGGGCCCTGATGCTGGTGGCCAGGAGGCTAGGATTTGATGCTCATGGTCAAAGCAGGATATCCAGGTTTACATTACATTATGTAAAATCACTCTGTCCACTCCATGGAGCGTATGTGAACCTGTCTTCCTTTCTTATCTAGAAAGGATAGATTTTTCCTTATTGCTTGAGAGGCTTAAAGTATATGCCCTTCGTGCTATGAAAAAGAGAAGCTGATTTCTTTGTAGCTAACAATTCCAGTTCTGGGTTTAATCGTGTCTCATATAATATTTTAAAAGAAAAAGAAAGAAAAGTATTTGAGAGAACATACAAGTCACTGGAAGGAGACCGGAAACAAGGGCAGGGTTTTCCTGTAGCCTAGAAAGATCTTTCACTGTGCTAGAAAGAGATCGATCTATGGAACCTCCAAGAGAGATCAAGCCCCATAGAGGAATCCCTTGCATTATGAAAGAACCCCATGACTCAGTAGACAGGTGCATGCATATTAATAGGAACTGCATGAACTGGGACAATGACCACCTGGGCTCTGGGTGGATGGATGACAGGTGACTGACTAAAGAAGCAGCTTCCCCACTCTGCCTGACAACTGGACAATGCATGCCCTCAGTATCATTGCAGGTACACCTCAAAAGTGACTTAGGCTATACCCAGCAAGATAAGGTCTCAAAGTCACAACTAAAATTATGTATAGTAAGAAAATAAATACAATATATCGTACACGCCTGAGTTGTTGGGCTGAGATTTATGTCTACTATACTAGCAAACAAGAAGGATTGCATTACCATTGCTCTCCTGCAGTATAAAAAGATTTTCATAAAATGATCCATTACACACAAATTTGCTCCTCGATCCTTTTCTTTAGCACTAGAACCTGATTGAGAGTCTGAGTCGTGAACTGTTTGTGTCTTGGACATATTTTCATCACTCATTTTGGAATTAATAAATGTAGAAAATTCTTCAGCATCTACAGTACAAAAATAAGGTATGACATGATTAAAAACATAGAATTAAGTTCCAGAAAACATAGGAGTGATAAGGATCAAATGAGTAATTCAGATAACACATGTTACATAAATTTGGAGAAAGGACAAGATTATGACAGATACAATGAAGCAGGGAAAGTTCCTAAAGAAAGGAGGCACTTGGGTCTTAAAGAATGGGCATGATTTAGCTATATGGGGAGATACAGAGAATATCATTTCAGACAAAGTCGATGGCAAAAGGAACAATGCAGAAGTAAGAAGGTACGGTTTTTTAAGGGAACAATAGAAAATACCACTGTCCTTTCATCTCCTCCCAAACAGGCCATTCCTAAGGCACAAACATCAGAAAGTAAGCTGCACCCTCTGCAGTCAGGCAGCACAGCAACCTCGGCCATGCATTCCCCTGCTGGTGTGGCATAAGAAAGAAGGCTTTCTCCTCCCACCAACTTTCCCTTAGAATCCTGTATTAGATAGTAAGTCTCCGTAGCAAAACATTCTATTGCCAATTTCACGGTAGGTCTTAGGTAGCGAGCCAGTTTAAAAAAAAACAAAACTCAGGAAGCTATGTTCTACAATCTACATACAAAAATCAGACTCCATGGCTATGGAATTCACTTTCAAATACTTTACTATACATAGCAAGATATGCAGGTACATGTGAAGCCCAATCTATATCCTAGAAGAAATCAGAAAGCATGCCAAGTACCTCAAACATAAATCAACACTGCTGAGGCAGTTAACTGGCATACCAAGAACTCTGGTTGTCAATAAATCCCATAGCACTTAAAATGTCATTACTAAAAGTCTATATAAAAGTGGGTTTGTAAGCACCTAAAGGTATTAGAAATAAATTTTTATTTGTGAAATGAACTGTATCATTGGTTAGAAGATGTCCAGGTTCCATCATCTTTGCAAGGAAGGGGTGTGGAAATTAGTCAGATTTGTTCATCTACAGTTACCAGAGCACACCCTGTTCAAGAACCCTGTTTACTGCCAGGTACGGTGGCTAATGCCTGTAATCCCAGCACTTGGGAGGTCTAGGCGGGTGGATCACAAAGTCAGGAGTTCGAGACCAGCCTGGCTAACATAGTGAAACCCCGTCTCTGCTAAAAAATTAGCTACAGGCGTAGTGGCGCATGCCTGTAATCCCAGCTACTTGGGAGGCTGAGGCAGGAGAATCGCTTGAATCCAGGAGGCAGGGGTTGCAGTGAGCTGAGATCACACCATTGCACTCCAGTCCAGGGGACAGTGTGAGACTCCATCTCAACAAACAAAACAAGCAAACGAAAAAAAACAAATACTGTTTACCTGTATGTCTCTACCTTCTGGAGCTCCCTGTCACCTGACCAGATAACAACACTTCATTCATCTTAGAGTGAGCTTTCTTGGAAGGTACTGGTTGAAAATCCTAGGGCAAGGGTGGATTCCCCTGAATACAAAATCAGCTATGGTGGATTCCCCTGAATACAAAATCAGCTATGATGATAGTTTGAGTGCCTGCTTGTATTAGTATGCTTGATGAAATTTGCTTGAGAACTTATTTCCACTAAAACATAACACCTGATAGCAAGTCTTCACCTATCTTGAACCCCCAGAGGCTACAAATATTTAATAAAAAACATTATATTTGCTGAACAATCAAATATAATGTTCAGCATTAAATTTGATAAGGTTAAAACACAAAATAGGTATTTCCAAATATAAGTAATGATATCACAACAATATAGAAATTTTTGGCCAGGCACAGTGGCTCACACCTGTAATCCCAGCATTTCGAGAGGCCAAGGCGGGCAGATCACGAGGTCAGGAGCTCAAGACCAGACTGGCCAACATGGCGAAACCCTGTCTCTACTAAAAAATACAAAAATTAGCTGGGCATGGTGGCTAATGCCTGTAATCCCAGCTACTTGGGAGGCTGAGGCAGGAGAACTGCTTGAACCAGGACCCTGGAGGATGAGGTTGCAGTGAGCCAAGATCATGCCACTGCACTCCAGCTTGGGCTACAGAGTGAGGCTCCATTTAAATATATATATATATATATATATGTATTTTTAATAGAGCAGACAAGAATTTCCTACAAAATATCAAAACTCAATTAAATTCCTAGTCCTTTGGAAAACTGTGTGTATACACCATTGTATGTACATGATGTGTATATGTGTTACATTGTTTAGTGAATAAAAATCTAGAGGTAATTTGATAATAAACTAATGTGTTTATTTTACCTGATGGTAAGTTGGCCTTTCTTTTTCTGGCTGTAAGAAGGAAATCAAGCATTGCTTTATAATTTTCTACAGTCAATTTTCTTGTTGGTAATACTGTTCCTGAATTATAGAGTGAGAATATGTTAGGATCACATGATCTGAAACTGCAAGGGAGGAAAAAAATCACATTAAAAAACAATATAAGCAAAATTGAATTAAAACTGTCAAATGAAATCTATTTTTATTTTTAAAACATTTGTGAGTACTCTCAAATTTTAAATCATGAAGGATTTTGGCACTTAATCAAAGCCCAACATTTTTTCATTAACTTTTAAAATTATACAATGTAATTTTGCTCTTAGGAATTTTAACATCGATATATGTTTATCTGAAAGGGCCCTTGAAAATGGGAATAAAAAATCTGTGCCCACTCTGTGAGCTCTGAAACAACAATTTATTTCAACTTAAAACCACCTGATTATACAGAACTCAATGATGATGCTTACTATATAAAGCAGTGTGTCCTTAATCAATGTTATTTCTTTTCTTTTCTTTTTTTTTTTTTTTTGAGAAGTTTTAGTTTCTTCTACCAGAAATGTTAATTCA